GAACTAACTCTTGGCCTCCAGTGTTGTGTGAGGGTGTACCAAGCTTGCCGGTAGGTGGGCAATAAGGACTGTGGTACGAGTTTGTGTCATCTTGTAACAAAGGAAAAGGGCTGGAATTCTAGCGAGGCTTTTCAAGTAGCTGAGAACAGTGGTTTCTGTGGGAGAGAGTTACTCCCTCTGGTGTGTACTTTAAGCTTTTATAACTTTGCAGACTGTTTTCATGCACAAAAAGCTACATAACACGCTAAAGGAATGGGACAAACTGGAAAAATAGGTCCCCTGTAAGCTTACTTCAGGTTAAACAGTTCTACTTAAAACTAGCTTTAGGCTAAGCAGCATTTTGAACATCCATGTAAGTTATTGATGTAACTGATTTTTAATGGCATACACCATTCAGAAATGCTAACGTTTCTAGTAATTGAATCAGTAGGGGTGCTTACTGATTTTCTAACTAGCTTTATGTTAGCATTGTTGCATGAAGTTTTCTTTTCATCCAGTGTCTCATCCTTGAGTCTGTATAGGACGTAAAATTGTCCTTCACGGTCCCTGTTAGCAGTAGGGCTATTAACTAGCGCTTGACATGTCCTGTCGGAGAGTTGATATCATGTCCAATTACACGGGGGGCTAATTAATGAACTGGGTGGGATTGAAATTATGCAAACGTGATTGGGTCCTGCAAGCAAGGTTTGAAAAATGTCCAAAACATTACAACCTGCTCTCTCTCTCTGTCTGTCTCTCTCTCTCTCTCTCTCTCTTTCTTAACAACACCACAGGAGGCCTGGAGCGTTTTTTTTTCTCCATTCATGGTCTTGAGAGGTGAGTGAGGTAGAGAGAGGGAAAGAAAGAACATTATTTCTGTTCTCAAGCATGTAATTGGTCCTGCGTTCCCCACGCCACAAGTGAACAAGTGTGCGTTTCCATATTTTCATCTGGGTTTAGGTGGTGGTGGGCAGTTTATAAAGCAACTGTCCCTGTTTGAACTCTTGGCTGTTCGATGTTTCTTCAAGGGCAAAGAGAGAGAGAGAGGAAGAGGGGGAGAGAGAGATGCAGTTACAGATACAGAAAAGAGTGACTCAAAGCTTGACCCAGCACGCACCACACATTCACACACCTCAGCCAGAGTGTCTCCTCACAGCCCCATCTGCTTCCTGCACTGCTCTCATTATAGACAGAGAGCCATCCATCAGCCGCCAACCAACCACCCCACCACCCTATCGCTTCACACGCTGATGGAGAGAAGGAGAAAGAGAGAGAGAGAGAGAGAGAGAGAGAGAGAAAGAGAGAGAGGGAGGGAGGGAAGGAGACCCCTACCCAATTGATAAAAAAGTGTTCCCCCACTGGCTGTAAAGGTGCAGCATGGCCATGACCATAACTAGCATGAGGACAGCGAGGTCCACATGAGTTCTGGACCTTGGTTGTTTCTTTATTTCACATAATCATGAGCTTCGTTGTGGAAATGGTGATGTCCTGATAATGCGGTAGCCTAACATCATAACAGCATTATTCAAATATCAAAAACTGGACCTATATCAGCACTTTTACTCTGAGAATTGTTGCATATATGGTAAACAGTAGCCTACTTAAACCTAGCTTCAGATTAAGCAGATTTACCTACAGCTATCCTGAGTTTAAACAATTTGCCTAAAACTATCTTCAGATTAAGCAGGTTTGCGTAAAACTAGCTTCAGATTAAGCAGGTTTGTGTAAAACTAGCTTCAGATTAAGCAGATTGGCCCAAACCTAGCTTTAGGTTAAACAGGTTTACCTGAAGTTAGCTTCATGCCTAAAGATAGCTTCAGATTAAACAGACATACCTAAGGCTAGCTTTAGGCAAACCTGCCTACAGGTCAAATAGCTGACTGAGGATTTGAAATTAAGATCGTAAAATTTGTAAGACTGTCTCTTACAAAGCTGGGGAAGGCTACAAAAAAGATATCTCAACACTTCCTGCTTTCAATTTCACATTTGAAATGCTAATAAGTAATGGAAGTTGGGAAGAGCTGTTGAAGTCAAGAAGAGATGTGAAAGACCAAGAAAAATGTATGTATGCAAAGCAAAACCCCCACATCACTACCAACAGGAAGGTTCAGCTGACACTTAAATAGTCATGCACTGGCTCACTGGGCAGTGCTGTTGTACAAACATCATGAAAGGGTCATAAGAAGGTAAATTTTATCACAAAAGCCAGGGTCTAAAGTACACAAGACATCACCTAGATAAGCTAAAACATCCTGGAATCAAGTGCTGTGGTCTGATGAAATGTAACTCTTTGGCCACAATCACCAAAGGTATGTAAGGAGAAAAAAGGAGAAGCATTTCAAGAAAAGAAACACTGCCAACTATTAAGCATGAGCGAGGATCTGTTATGCTTGGAGATTGTTTGGTAGCCAGTGGCGCAGGGAATGTGCAGATAGATGAGCAGATAGATTAATGTTTTATTTCTTTCTAATATGTTAAATTCAGCAAATAACTAGTAATTGTCCATTCAAACATGCAGAGGCACTTTGAAAATCAACAAAATGTGTAATTTGACTAGGGGTTTGCATACGACTGTATACATGCACACAGACACATAAAGATGTCCTATTACAGATTGCACTTAACAGCGTAAGTGAGTGTGCATTCATAAGTAAGCACTGAGGCAGAGCTTTCTCCGGCAGCGTGGTAGTTAAAGGGTGCTATCATTACACATATATGCCTGGAAGGCCACTGAGTTAACCTTTAAGTAATGGGATCAGCTAACCTGCTCTGCTTATGGACAAATATCATTCTCATAAAACCACTGAGGCGGAGTAATTCACGTCAAGAGCAAGGGAGCACACAGAGGTCATAAACCACAGTACTCATCAAATGGTACACTGAAGTGCTGCATTACATTGACTTGACTCAAAAGTGTATATCATTTCTACATGAATAGAATGTATGAACACAATTACTGCAAGAAGTATATAAGCTGATGATTATGTATTTATGTATGTTTATATATTTTACTCATACGGAAATGATGTCAACATTTGAACCCAATGCTAAGTGAGCAGGAGAATAGTAGGCCTATGTGCTAAGCTGTAAGGAATGAAGAGAAAGTGGGCCACTTTTTGGCAAACATGAGATCCACAACAACCACTCACTTCCATTTTTAGAGCTATTAGTTTGATTTAACGTGGTGCTTTCTATTAACATGTTCAGCACTCGTCTGTGCTGAAATACGTTGTTTTTCCACTGAGTGCTGCATCTGCTTAAAAAGGAACTTACCTCCCTCGTTATGGGTGGCTTTGCGCTTGAGGGGTGCTTCCACGTTGAAAATGCATTATCAATAACCCATCTCGAGTTTTGGGTGAGTGGTTTTAATGGACTATGCTGACGTTTATATACCAAAAAAATGTGCCACTTTGCTTAGTATTCCATATATATGCCACAAATTCCATATATATGCCACAAACTGTCCAGCTATACCTGGATAAATATATGCCACATGTCCAAAAGTATCCAGACACCCCTTTTGATTAGTGAATTCAGCTACTTTCAAGTGCACACAAATTGGCACACACAGCTTCTTTTCTCTGTAGAGAAGCACTGACTAATAGAAAGGGATGCATGAGCTTAAGATCACCAGGCCAAGCATCAGCTAGAGAAGTATAAAGCCCCCAAGCGGGCTATGAAGCAGTGATAATGTGTTCTCTGGAGTGATGGGGCTCCATCCAATACCTTTGGGATGAGTGGGAGTGATCCAGAACTAAACATCAGCATCAGTACCTGACCTCATTAATGCTCTTGTGGCTGAATGCAATCAAATCCTCACAGCAATGTTCCAACATCTAGTGTAAAGCCCTTCCAAAAGAGTAGAGGCTGATACGGCATTGAAGTGGGGACAAACTCCCTAATAACCCCCTTGATTTTAGAAGAAACACTAAATGAGAAGGGGGGGATTCACCATGCCTAATGCCAGGCATCAGCTAGAGGGGTATAAATGTACCAAATGGATGGAGGCAATGGATTTGTATTGTCAAGCACTACTACTTCTACTTCACATATATATTTGTGAGAGCTGTTATTTTGTAATCAAGTTTTTATTCATTTTCTCACATTTGAATGACTGAGTTGCTGATTCCCTTTTTAGAAATTTATGTCACATCAAAAGTGGATTGAGTCACTATTTCACAGGCTTTCACTGGAGGATGGGTTTAGGCTACTGGGTATAGGAAGATATTTGCCAAAACGTGGCTCACTTTAATTAGTATTATACATGATATTTGCCAAAAAGTGGTCCACTTAACCCCTTATTATAAAATCTGAGTTGGATAAAGAACCCATCTGATGTGATATTTTCCAATAAGCGTCACAACTGAATGGACACTTGAGCTACTGATAGTGTCGTATGCAAATGTTTGGGCTCCCCTGGTCAAATGACATGTTTTGCTGATTTGACAGATCTAAAGGGGGATGTGTTGATTTATTTTCACCTAGAAAATCAGCTAAACATGTAGTTTGACTGGGGGTGTTTGAACTTTTGCTTACGTCTGTACTTGACACTAATATTATATGATATGAGGTGATATTTTGCAAAAAGTGTCCTACTTTTTTACATTCAGGAAAATAATATTTGCCAAAAAAATCAGTTCACAATATTTGCCAGTACTGATTTTGGAAGTTTATGTAATTTAAATTTGCCGAAAGTGTCCAGCTTTACCTGATATTACTGTATGAAATATGATAACATACTTTACGTGTAAATTAGCCTGTAAGATATATTTGCCAGAAGTGTGCCACTTCAGCTGCTGATGATATGTACCAGATGCCGTCCCACTTAACCTGATGTGGGACAGTTAGAAGAGTGGCCCTCCTTTGCTACTGATATTTGCCAAAAGCAGGTCAGCGTACCAAATATTACCAAATGTCTTTGTCAAAAGTGTTCCACTTTACCTAGTAATAATATTCGCGTACTTTACCTGAACTCACCTCATGTAAGCACCCCCCCCCCATACCCCCGTCAGTTATCTTACCTGTTCTGGCCCCTGGAAGCAGATCCTGCAGAGCGGTGTCCTGGCCCCGCTGTCCGTGCAGCTGCTGAGGGACAGTCTCTCTCCCAGCTTGTCCAGTTTCTCCTCTTTCTCCTTGGGGCAGTCCTCCGCCGAGCTGCTCCCGTCCCCACCTGTGCTCTCCCCTGTCCCACCTGCCCCTTCTGTCCCCCCGGCGGCCCGGCTCCACTCGCCGCTGCCCTCGCCGCTCCCTGCCGCCTGCTGTCCGTTCATGGGTGCGAGCGGTGGCCTGAGCAGCAGAGCCTTCAGGTCACTGAGCAAGACGCGACGGCGGCCTTTCTGCTTGCCCTGGCGGCGCAGCATCGGTGTCCCACTCGGCAATGCCCGGCAGCGCACGACAGTGACACCGACGGCCAACAACATGTGCCCACTTTTACTGGCCAACGGAGTGGACGGCGAGAGCGCGGAGCTTCTGCTAAGACCTGAAAGGCTGGACTCTGGATGGACTCATAGAGATGCACTGGGGAAAGAACGGGCACTTACGACGGTCTCCCAAGCGACGGTTAAAAACGTGAAAAAGCGTGTGGTTCGTTTGGGAAGATCTGGATTGAAGCTATGCGCGTCGTGTGTGACGGGTAAGAAAAAGCCGGAAAAACGGCCCCAGTGTGGCCACTTTCAGCGGCGTAGCGTCAGGTTTGGTCTACGAGCGTTGAAAACCTCCAGAAAGAAACGTTAAAAAACGAAAGAACGTTTATTTTCAAAAGGCGTTAAACGTTCTGAAGACGCGTGGCGACATTCAAGCGCTGCTATTGGCCGAGAGACGGAGCGCGGAACAACCACGTTTACACTGTTACGTGCAACCAGTGTGTGTGTGTGTGTGTGTGTGTGTGTGTGTGTGTGTGTGTGTGTGTGTGTGTGTGTGTTACACTAATTACCCGCTGACACTCGATCGGCCCCCCTACACGCTCACAATGCATTCATAACGCTCCATCCACAGCACCACTGGCGATCAATCCCACTCTCTCCACGGCAGAGCCTCAGAGAGGGAGGGACAGCGCGTCGAGGTGCGTGGAAATCTGCTGATCTCTCCGGGGATCCATTCTCTGAGATCCGTTGGAAGGAACGCCATCAAATGGACATGGCTGGTGAAATGAGCTGGAAAGCAGATCAAGCAGATTCCTCAGCACGAGCCGAAGCCGCGGGAGGTCTGGAGGTGCCGTGAGCTCTCAGTCTGCAGGTCAGTAATTCTCCCGATCTCCATTCCATCCGCTGCCCCCCGCCGCCGTCCACAGGTCCCGAAGGCTCTCTACGGACGGGTCGCGCTGGAGATGGTGCTCAGGTTGGAGTGTCTCGGACGGGATCCTGGTCTCCTTTACGTCCTGTAGGCTAGTACGCCCATCGGAGCCTTCGAGCCTCCAAAAATCGTGTCATGTGCGCGCGCAGGCCTCACGAATCTCAATCTCAATCGCTCACGCTCGCGCTGCCCGAGCGCTTCCTCCCTGACCGCCAGCCGCCCTGCCCTTCTCTCTGAGGCAGCCAGCAGCGCCGAGCATGCCGGAGAAAACGGAGCCGGAGCGATGCTGGAAGGCGAAGAAGAAGAGGAGGAGGAGGAGAAGGAGGAGGAGGTGGTGGAGGAGAAGAGGAGGAGGGGGGAGAGGAGGAGAAAAGAGCCGTCGTCCGCCACGCGCTGCCGTCGTTTGTCGTCACGGCGACCCTTCCGTTTGTCGACCGGAGACTAAACAGCACGACAAAAAACCCTCCGCTGGAAACGATCAGAGCGACTGCGGTTTCAGCACCACGGAGCCCGGACAGCTCCTCTATACCTCTCTCTCTCTCTCTCTCTCTCTCTCTCTCTCTCCCTCTCTCTCTCTCTCTCTCTCTCTCAATTCATTTCAATTCAATGTTGCTTTATTGGCATGACAAATATTAACACTTGTATTGCCAAAGCTTTTGTTGGGAGATTAAGAACAAAGTACAACATATACAAAAAGCAATAACAGATATAAAGCAAGAACAGATATAACAGGTGTTATAATAATAATAATAATAATAATAATAATAATAATAATAATATCTCTCTCTCTCGCTCCCTCTCTCTCTCCCTCTGTATAATCTCTTTCTGTATTCTCTCTCTCTGTATTCCCTCTCTTTCACTCTCTCTCTCTCTCTCTCTCTCTCTCTATATATATATATATATATATATATACATATGTATATATGTGTCTATATATACACATATATGTATCTTTTTGTCTTGTCTCTCTCCTTTTCTCCTTCTCACTCTCACTTTTCTCCTTTTCTATCTCTCTCCTATCCCTGTCTCTCGTTCTCTAGTTCTCTCTCTCTCTCTTTCTCTTTTTTCTCTCTAGTGCTCTCTCTGTTTCTCGCTCCATTCTTTCACCCTCTCTTCTTTTTCTTCCTTTTCCTTTCTCTCTCTCTCTCTCTCTCTCTCTCAGCAAGTTCTTTGTTTCCAGCTGCATAAACATACATTAAAGCATGAATATGTATGTATAGTATTACACATTCATTTCTGTGTATTTTTAGATTTTTTAGATTATATATTTAGTACCTGTTCTTGGATATACACTTTATCCTTCCACCCTCGCTCACATAAGTGTCGCTCTTTCCTCGCTCAATAATTCATCAATGCTGCTATACAGCCCTGCACACCTAACACACACTCCACACACACATGCCCAGCTCATAAACCCACTGAACCCGGGAAGATATCCAGCTAAAAATAGAGAGAGGAGTTCCCTTCCATCACTGCGTGCAGACTCGTGTGGGATGTCTGTGGCTGTGTATCCTACAGTCCTGTACACTATGTGTCCAAAAGTATCCAGACACCCCTTCTATTTAGTGAATTCAGCTACATTACGGTCACGCATTGCTGACACAGGTATACATGCACAGCGTGTATAATCTCCATAGAAAAATACTGACCAATAGAATAGGATGCTCAGGAGCAGCTGCACATGAGTCTATGGTCACCCTGCCCAATGCCATGCCTCAACTAGAGGGGTATAAAGCCCCCAGTATTGGGCTGTGAAGCAGTGGAACCGCATCTCTGGAGAGATGGAGTGCCATCCGTTATCTTTGTGATGAGTTGGACTGATCCAGAACTGATCATCCAACATCAGTACCTGACCTCACTAATGCTCCTGTGGCTTAATGCAATCAAATCCTCACAGCAATGTTCCAACATCTAGTGTAAAGCCTAAAATCTCTGTTTGTTTGTTTGTCTACTTGTCTGTCCACCTGTCTATCTATCCATCTGTCTCTGTTTGTCTGTCTGTATTCTTCTTGTTATTATTATTATTACTATAAGTATTATTACTGGTAGTAGAAGTAGTAGTATAACACAGTTATGGACAAAACAAGAGAGATAGATAAACAAATAAACACACAAACAAACAAATAAATAAAATGCCAACCCACTGCATGTTTTTTTTTATACTATGGAAAACATTTACTTCCTACCATTGAACCGAAGAAGCCAATTGTTTCCATTTTTAGACTCAGTACATGATGTGTTCTGACAAGTTTGGCAAATCAAAACCATGAATTTAGTGCTCAGTTTCTCCGTATGAAGCATGAAGCGGTTCAGAAACGTGTTTCAGGTGACAGACGAATCAAAGCATGTCTGGAAACACAGTGTTGAGGTGAAGTTTCCCGTTAAAGGTGGGGGATTGGTAGTGGGGAGACTGTATATAATAGTTCAGAATGAGAGCACGGATTTCTCTTTCTTGTTAACAAACCCACACTGACCACAGTAATCTTACATAAGCGTTGCTGGGGAAGAACAGAGCACACAGGAAGTGGAGGAGACGTTTGTCTGCCATGGACGCTAACGCTAACGCTAACACTGCCTGACAGACTGGCCTCTATCTTTCAGAGGCTGTGAGTCACTCCAGCCATGATGTGAGAGAGAAAATGCTACTCAGACCGCTTTGCCTTTCTCCTCAGCACGAGAACCTACACACAATTTTGGAAATGTTAAAAAAAAAGCACAACATGAATTTCTAGAAGTTCCAGCAAGACGTCCACAGACCAAATCACAGAATTACAGAGGACATTGAAATTCAGATTCACCACACTGAGAGTTGTTTAGCATCATTTTTCATTAGATTTTTTACTCATCCTGTAACTGATAAGTGATTTTGTGTGAGAGATAAATACGTCAAATCATTAAGGTTTACTGTTCTTCCAGTCAATGTCAAAACAAGACATTTTAGGAAGTGGTGAATACAAACAGAACAGACTGAACCAATAAATGGCAACAATGGTAAAATCTTCTTGTGTTGCATCCAAGTACATAATGTATTATGTTGAACATTTTTCCTGTACTTAGCTCTAAGCTCAGTGCGGTCTAAATTTACTTCTGCTCCACAACTTGCTAGCCTGCACACTCCAATTTATTCTCAGAAGTAAATGCGGCAGGGAGCAGGCTAGCTAACTAGCAATTTAAAGACGAAGGAAACATTTGGACTGCAGCTACACTCTCAGAAAAAAAGATAGTAAACTATCACTGGGGCAGTAGCCCTCTTGTCACTGGGGTGCTATCCTTAAGGGTACATCTCAGCACCTGTAGTCAGGGAACCTAATTGTACCATAAAAAAGGTACAAATATGTACTTTTCACCTGGGAAACCCTTACAACTTTTAAGGTACACAATTGGGCCATAATACCACTGTTGTACCTGTTGAGGGTACATTTACATTGTTTGTACCTTGATAAATGAAAAATGTACCTACACAGAACCTTTATTTCTAACAGTGTAGAGGTATAGCCAACTGTCATCTCAGATAAAGTCAGCCAGATCAGTCTGCAAACTTCAGCTAATTTAAGACCGTTTCAACAATGAACGCCAAAAATGATGTTAACGGTAATGTAGCCTTTTAATGACAGCATGCTAGTAGTGTGTGGCTGTATATTAATTTTTTAAACATTTTTTTTTTCACCCTTCCAAATAAAATACGAAATCCATCATAAACTAATTTTGATGATTTTTGGGAACACTGGGCACATGGGACTAAAATAAAAGCTTAGCACTAAAACTGGCTCAGCAAACTAAAAACAGATGCTAGTATGAATTGAATTTAGATGACAACGGAAGCTAAAACAACCAAACTGAGCTGAACAAAATTTACAGAAAAGACAGCAAAATGAGGCTGATTGTACGAATCTGAAATTGACTTTTCACTCACCAGCAGCTTCTTATTTGAATTTTCCATTCCACCTTAAATGGTGTAGTAGTTACGTTCTGGCACCTAACTGCTGCACCATTTAAGATGGAATGGCAAATTCGAATATGAAAATGAAAAAATAACATCAGCTTTGTGGTGAATGTTGCACTTGTTTTACCAGCAGTGAAACAGAGTAGGAGTTTAAACACTGAACAAGGGCTTATTGATGCTATTGAC